TCTGCATGGGCCCATGGCCATCCGGGCCTGTGTGAAAGTAGAGTGACATAGTTAAGCCTATATATATGTCAATTAGCACCAGAATGTCTGCGGCCCCGTAGTGAGGGTGGATTGTTGTGAACAACTGTAGAGAGCTAGGAGACAAATGCAGCTTACTGATTCTCAGTAGGTTGGTGCAATCCTAAATTTTTTTAATACTTTTTACTGATTACGGTGCTCTCAGGGCGTTGGGTATAACAGTAGTTTGGTCTACCGTACTAAAATTACAAATACCTAAGATAACTCAAAAGTTAACAAAGAAACTAAAGGAAACTAAAAGGTTGAGATGCATGCTCTACCATATCATTTTGGAGTAATAGTACAGAGCGCAGGCTCGTCACTTATGTTTTGTGCCCACTCAAGGAGCAGGGTGGATGCGTGGTCACTTGGATAGTTAGGGAGGAGGGTAGTAGAGCAGCACACCCCCCACAGGAGGTGTTCAAGGTGACAGCGATGGACCAGATTTGTTCATATTTCTCTAAGGTCCCCGCAATGGTATGCAACATTTTTTCATATTGCTGTGTGAGGTTCACCAGTACGAGGTCAGGCGAATTAGTTAATTTCTATAGGGTGGCTACACAGAGTTTTTCTGCTTGTGTGATATGGATGGCCAATGCCACTTCACTGTTCATAAACGTTTTGGGCAGCATATGATATGAAGCAGATAACACTCCGGTGTTAGGGGTAGGAGTTTCCCCATACACTTTTTTACTAACTGATGGATTTCTCACCAGAATGTTGTGAGTTCCAGGCAATGCCAGGAGATATGGCTTAAGGTGCCTGTGTGTTGGCATCATCTCCAGGTGGGCGCCCGGGTATTTGTGAGCTTATCGCTGGGGGGGGGGGATGTACCATCTCATCTACATTTTATAGGCTGCCTCTATATGGTCCAGACAGTGTGTACCAACTACTCAGCTCTATAGTACACCGAAGATCCTTTTCCCATTGGATCATATAGTCCAGTTTGAAGGGTATGTCCATCTCTGATAGACGTCTGTAGCATAATGAGAGTGGCTTAATAAGAGTCAAGCGTCCTAGACACATTTTATCAAATGCGCATAGGTTTTGGGCGTCTATCGTGGTCAGTATGGTATTTCCCAAGATATGTTTTATTCGTTTATATGTAAATAGTGCTCTGCTGGGCAGGATAGGGGTTTGTTGTAGGTCAGGGAAATGTTGTACCCTTCTGTCTGTTATCAATTGTGCCACTTTGGTAATCCCTCTCTGTGTCCACTGGTCCACTGATAGGTCGGGTGTTTGGTATTTAATGCTATATAAAGAGGCATGTAAGCTCATGGGTTTTGTCACCATTTTTGGGGCCAATTTTATCCAGGTATGGAGAGATATCCTTGTGGGTGATAGTAAGGTCAGTTGTCGGGGATGAATGTTGGCAGGGACCCAGATCAGGTCCATTAGTGTATGTGGTGCGCTGATTGCATTTTCTAACCAATTCACAAAGGATTCTGTGGCGTCAACATGAGTCTTGCTGTCTGTGCCAGAAAGGTAGCCAGGTAATATTTAGAGATGTTAGGTACTCCTACACCACCTCTTCCCATGCCCAAAACTATGCTTGCTAGAGAGACCCTTGGTGGTTTCTTTTTCCATATGTGTGCATTCAGCAGACGTTGGAATTGTGTTAGGATTGATTTGGGGACTTCAATTGGCAAAGTTCTGAAGATGAATAGTACCTGTGGGAGAATGGTCATTTTTATAGCGTTTATCCAGCTCAGCCCCCAGCACTGCAGTAAGTTTTGTCAGTAGCCTGCCGTGGTTATGTTTTAATATTATATGTTTTGAGGGCACTCACTGTGTTCCTAGGTAACTAAGGGTGTCTTTCCACCACTCAATCGAGTAGAGTGCCTGAAGGTCAGTCAGGTGAGAGTGTGGTAGATTGACATGGAGTACTTGCATTTTAGCTACGTTGTTTTTATAGTAGGATACTTGTCTGTAGTTGTTAAGAAGGGTCAAGAGTGGCAGTCTTTCAGTTTCGTAAGAAATAGGAGAACATCGTCTGCAAACAGGGCTATTTTTTGGGGGCCTATTAGTGATGGGACACCGACTATGGCTTGATCTTTTTGGATTTTGTGGTGCAGGGGCCCTAGCACCAGAATAAAAGCAAGGGGCGAAAGGGGGCATCCCTGCCGGGTTCCATTGGAAAGGACAAAGCGTTGGGAGGTGAAGCCAGAGCTCACCACTGTAACTGTCAGGGATGAGTACAGGGAGAGAAGGCCACTTGTAAATTTAGTCGGGAATTGAAATCTTCTGAGGACTTCAGTTGTATCTCCAGTGGAGCCGGTCGAAGGCCTTCTCCACGTCTAGGGCAAGTATTAAGCCTTGGGTTCTGCCGTTCGTCATGAGTTCTAGTATAGCTAGTACTCGTCTGGTATTGTCTTCTACTTGGCGTCCTGGGACAAAACCCGCCTGTTCAAGGGAAATAAGCTCAGGAAGCAGGGGGCGTATCCTGTTTGCCAAGACATTTGCGAACAATTTTGTGTCCGCGTTTAATAAGGGGATCGGAAGTCGTTGGTTTGCCTGGTTTTGGGATTGTGACAATAGTGGCTTCTAACAATTCGGTCGGTATACGACCTGTCTCTAGGATGTAGTTAAATAGGGCTGTCAGGTGTGGGAGTAGTTGGTCCTCAAACACCTTATAGTAATGGGTAGAGAATCCGTCAGGGCCTGGGGCTTTGTGCCGTGGAGTTGCTTTTAATGTCTTAGAGACTTCGTTCTCAGTAATTAGTCTGTCTAGTTCTGTCGACTGACTGTTGGAGAGCTGGGAGAGATCCACCCCCACGAGAAAGGCTAGGATTTCAGTCTGTGTTGGTTGGTGCTGAAAGGTCAGAGGAGAGGTTGTACAGTAATTCATAGAATGCCGCAGATTCGTCCACCATCATTTTAGGGTTTTTCAATTTGGCACCCATCCTGTCCAATAGATAGGGTATCCTCATTTGAGAGGTCCTTACTTTTAATTGTGAGGCCTGGAGTTTCCTTGCTCTATTCCCCTGTCTATAATAATCAGTTTTCAACTCACGGATCGCTCTCTCCACCTGTTGCATTTGGTGTTCTTCCAGTTCGATTCTAATCTTGTGCAGTGAGGCTCTATTAGCCTCATTGGGTGAGACTTTGTGCCGATCCTCTACTACTTTTAAATCTTTTAAAAGTATGTTACTTATTTCTGAAAGTTTACGTCGCAGTCTTGCGCTGTGTTTAATCAGTAAGCCCCTCATAACTGCATTGTGGGCAAGCCATGTCGTAGGGTGATTCATATCGATGTATTGGTTGTCCACAAAGAAATTGGCAAGTGCTCTCCTTACTTCTGCTGCCTGTTCTTTGTGGTCTATAAGAGACTTGTTGAATCGCCATGTACCCTGACCCCGAATTGGGTGGAGTGGCGTGAAGGCGGTCAGGAGGGGTGCATGGTCCGATCAAGTAATAGGGGCAATAGTAACCCTGTCTAGTGTGTCTAAGGTACTTGCGTCCCAGACACATGCCTATGTGGGAGTATTGGTTGTGGACTCTTGAATAAAAGGTGTAGTACCTAGAGGCTGGATATAGTGAGTGCCATGTGTCACGTAGACCATGGGAGTGTAGCAAAGCTGATAGGTTTGTACTGAGGGGTGCAGAGGTGGGTGGAAACCTGGGCTTCCAGATCTGTCTACGTCAGGGTCTAGCACACAGTTAAAATCCCCACAAATAAGTGTTTGGCTATAGTCATTGGGACATCATACAGCTGTCCTACCACTATGAGGAGTTGTTCGTCATTAGATTTGTACTCTCACAGTGAAAGGCCCAGTCTGAGTAGAACAGAATACTAACTCCCCTGGTTTTGTTGGGCGACAGGGCATGGAAGGAGAGCGGGTACCTGGCTGAGCAGAATTTGGGGGGGTTCAGGATGGAGAAGTGGGTCTCCTGAATGGAGGCAATAAAGGCGTGTGACTAATACATCTGGCGAAAGGCGAGTCTGCATTTCTGTGGATTATTGTGACCATGGGCATTCAGGAATAGTACATTAAATTGGTGAGAGTGAGTCATCTGTTAAGTTGGGGGACACTAGGGCTAACCCAGGCATCAATACCCTTCCCGACTCCCTCTCTATAGTGGTTTTGGGGATGCATTTCTCTGTCAGTACCTGTCACACCCACAACATAGAATAGAGAGCATCTCAGACATAACATGGAGTTAATAACAGAATCAAAAAACAACTAGTAACGCAATTACCAAAACAGAAGTACTGGCCATCGTGCGGGGGTTCCTTGGCCTTTGTTAGTTAAACAAAATATGTCCGCATAGGGAGGGTGCTAGCGGGGATCATGGGGTCCCAAGAGTTACTCCTCATAATATGTTTGTAGGTCCTCCGTAACCTGGAGAGTGTGTCTTTTATAAGGGTGAGATAAGCTTGATAGCCAAGTATCACAGGGTCACACTGTGGGGGATTGGCTAAATGTGGGAGCCTGCTGGCCATGTAGTTTAGGTAAAGTATACTATAATGAGCCGTCTGTGGCACTCGTTAGGGAAAGGGAGTAGGATGCCTGTGGTGGTGTATACGGCCAGAGGAGTTGTCAGCCTTTCAAAGAAGTGACTCTTAGGGAAGAGTAAGGGATGTATTAATCATTTCTGTTATTTTTTATTTTTGTTTGGTCAGTTTGGTAATTCTAAGTGGTATATGTAGGGTAACACACCAGCATAGGCAGTACTCATGTGAGGGCCTCTCAGTCATTTTTGTGGGTGTGGGTCACCATTAGTCCCGAGCAGGTTCAGAGAAATGTCCTTTCCTAGAGGTCACTTATCGCAGTGTTAACGGTCTCTGTCTCTGGAGCGGGAAGAAGTAGTAAAGTCACTTCAGCTTCTGGACTTTTGTCCATTCCAGGTTCACTCTTCTCAGGGAAGCAGGGGTAGTGGTCGTTGTCTTTTCCAGGAACGGTCCCCATGTGCGTAGCATGTCCATGCCTTGGTCTGGTTCCTCAACTTTTGTAAGAGATCCGTCTCACCAAATCAGAAATTTTGCGATAGGGCACCTTGTTGTTGCGGATATCATCCACAGCAGACTTGAAGTCGGCCTTTCTAGAGAAGCACAGCTCTTGTAACATTGCTGCTAATCTCTTTTCCGATAGGGAGATGTCGCCGGGGTGCACCTGCAGCGTTTCTGTGTTTGGGGCCAGCCTCTGATGTAAGCGTTGGTGAGCGGGAACCACCACCATCTTGATCCGTCCGTTGATGAACTTTATTCCCTTGGTGGAAGAAATCGGAGGTGCGCTGGGCTTTAGAAGGTGCCATTTGAGGTCCTCTGTGTTGTAATTTGTCGCTTTTAGGCCGTGTCGGGTCCAAGCTACTGCGCCATGTGACCGCTTCATAAGACCGGGAAGTCCCATCCCCTCCCTCTATCCATTTTTTAGCTTTCATTTTGTTGCAGTTCTTTTCCTTTAATGGGAATCAGGTTGTCCTTCTGGACTTTATCTACTTGTTGGTTTGGCACTTCTGCATTTATTAGATTACTCTGACATTCTACCAGGAACCATCAGACTTAACAATCATGTCAGAAATTCTCTTACTTCTCGTACTGCGGTGAAAAGGTGGTAACCAATTAAGAGAACTTGCAGAGTGTGTTGCACTGTATATCATTATTGGGTCCATTTTTATTTGTGAGTGCTCAATTGTATCCAGCTCATAATGTCTTGTATTACCAAAACAGTATGCGCTATTATTAGTTTTTAGGTATTTTTTGTGTTTACTATGCCTCTTTATATTTTTGGAGCTGTTTGCAGCGTCTGTAATAAACTGGTTTGTTAGATATTATATACTGGTGATGCTGCGGTATTTATATAATAAACCTCACATTTGATGAATATGTTGTGGTTTACTTGGTATAAGCGTGAGAATAAACCAATATTGATGGTGTTGTACACTGTGGCAAATTGCTTTTTGAACTATCTTGCAGAAACATTTTAATATGTACAGCTAATGGTTGCAGCTAAATATACATTATTCTTATTTCTTACCAAAATAAGGGTGATCACATGAATTTCTCGCTAACTAGATATATGCATTGCATCACCTTGACACTTACTGGGATATCCTGTGCACCCATTGTCCAGCCCCTCTTCACATATCACTAGAGTGGAAGTACTTACTGCCACATTAGCTACATTGGGTCCACCAGTCTTTGGATAGAATCCTTTGGCTGAAAGTGGAAGAGGAATGTATTCTTAAGGTATACCCAGGGGCGTATCTTACACGAGGCAAACAAGGCATCTGCCTTGGGCGGCACTTTGCAGGGGGTGGCAAAAAAAAGCCGCCCCAAACGCCCAGGCAGATCCCTTGTTTGCCTTGTGTCCTGGGGGACTCAAGAACTGGCCGGCTGGCCACTTTTGAGCCCTCCCCCCCGATGCGGGCAGCGGGCAGCAAGGGAGCATGCTCACCTGAGCTCTTCCTGCTCAGCTCCCTCGCGCGCTGCTTAATGAAGCAGGGAGCCGGAATATGACGTCACTCCGGCTCCCGGTATCACTAAGCGGTGCGTGAGGGTACTGATTAAAGCTCCCTCGCTGCCTACTCTGCCTGTTCGCCCCCTGCCTGCCCGACCAGCAGCCCCACTGGACAGCAGGTAAGCAATCTACTCCAGCTCTCCCAGGGAGGCTGGGTGGATTTAAAATAACATTTAAAAAATAGTGTTGGTGGAAATGTGTGTGTGTCTGTGAGTGAATGTGTGTGTGTGTGCATTTGTGTCTGTAAGTGTGTATGTGTGTGTATCTGTAAGTGTGTGTGTCTGTGAGTGAAGTGTGTGTGTGTCTGTAAGTGTGTGTGTCTAAGTGAATGTGTGTGTGTGTGTGTGTGTCTGTGAGTGAATGTGTGTGTGTCTGTAAGTGTGTGTGTGTGTCAGTGAATATGTGTGTGTGTGAGTGAATGTGTGTGTGTGTCTGTGAGTGAATGTGTGTGTGTCGGTCAGTGAGTGTGTGTGTCGGTCAGTGAGTGCGGGCGTCTGTCAGTGAGTGCGTGCATCTGTCTGTGAGAGTGTGCGTCTGTTAGTGAGTGTGAGTCTGTCAGTGTGTCCCCAAATAATAGTGTGAGTCCGTCTATCAGTGGGTCAAATCAGTGAGTGTGTGTGTATGTCCTTGCTTGTCAGTGTATATGAGAGTGTGTGTCTGTCAATGAGTGTATGCATCTATCAGTGAGTGTGTGCGTCTGTCAGCGAGTGTGTGTCTGTCAGTGAGTGACTGTCTGTCAGTCAAAGTGCGGCCTTGACAGAAATTTAAATTTGGGGGAGAGGGGGGTGCCAAGCACCGTCCTTCCTAGGGCAGCACAAATCCTAAATGCACCACTGGGTGTATCTAAAGAGAAGGCAAGATAAAGACTTCTATGGAACCTTTGTAGATGTCAGACCATTTGAAAATAGTTTGACTACTCCTTGTGGGATAATATGTCAGGAATCTCCAGGTACCACAACCATTGCATTCCTCTGTAGTGGTCACAGTGCTTGAACTACCCATTTAAAACCTTCATGACAGAGCCTTTACTGAAATGTTTTGTATTTGCTTAATTATAATGTAAAGCGTTATATTTAAGTGGACCCATACTTACATTATTTCTGTTTTTATTTTTTATAACGGACATATAATTTCGGCTGATAATTGATATGTATGCATTGCACAAAATTACATATTTATAAAATGAATCCCCCTTCCTCTTAATTGTTTGCTTATAAAAAAATATTAGTTTGACTAAAAAGAATGACTCAAAATAGTTATTAGCACAGGTTGTTAAAATGCCATATATGCCCAGGAGTTACAATTTTTGGAAGTTATTGGACAAATATTGCAAGGAGTGAATTGCAGTTTGAAAGGTAAAAAAAAAATAATCTAAATTTGGTTTGCTGAGACTATATCGTTAATAGCAAAACTGCTACACAGAAGTTTTTATAAATTTCCAATTATAGAAATTAGACCACCCCACAGAAAGAATATTTAACTAAGAGAATTTTAACACTTTTCATCTAACCATATCACCAATATTTTGCAAATCTGTTGGTTAGATGCATTTTGTTATGTTTTTCATGGGGAATTTAAACTATGTGTGTAAAGGGCCCAGATTCATATTTACTGTTGTCTCTGAGTACAGCAATTCCTCCTCTGTAGACATTTTCCAGATTTTAAAGAATTTAGAGGGTTAAATACCAGATGTGTTAATTTCAGTTTTCAAATTTCCAATTTTCGATCTTTGTTACTGGGCCCATCTGCTTTTTTCCCCCATCATGGCATGACATTTGTTCAAGAAGACAACTTTGGCTCTTTAATATAGGACATACTGGTAAAATATTTTATAAATAAATCAATGTTCAATTTCTGTCAAACTGCCATATCTTTTATTTTATGTCTCCTACATATTGACATTTAATTGTGTATTTCAGTGGCTGTATGTGTCCAACTACTTCAAGGACCCTAGATGTGTTTTCTGCTCAATCTCCTGAGCATGGTGATACCTATATGTATACTTTTGCAAGGTGTTTAGGGAATTTATAGGGTTAAACGAGAGTCGTTCCCTAATATTGGCATGCGTCTTTGCATTCTAAGAGACACTGCTTGTTAAAGTGACACTGTCTGTGTCATCATAATCAATCCTAAGCATTCTGTATCTCCTTTCTATTCTGTGCATTATATTATTATTATTATTATTATTATGTTTTTATTTATATAGCGCCAACAAATTCCGCAGCACTTTACAGTGGGTGGACGAAGAAACATGTAGTTGTAACCAGACAAGTTAAACACACAGGAACACAGGGATCATAGATCATTCATCATTATCTTTACATTAAAAATTGTTCTCAGTTAAAGCTGAAGACATTACAGTTGCTACCACTTACCTCTTTCAAGAGCCCTGCTGGGAATTGTTACTCTAGATGAAGGCTCTTGCCTTCTGTTGCTCATTATCACAGTTTGTGTACAGTTATGTCTCTAATACAAGTAACAAAGCAAAAATGTCTGTCCAAGTGATGTCATGTCCTGCTATTTGTACCTTGCCCGTAATGTCATAATGCATTATAAGGAGTTGGTTGGTGCCAGTAGTCATGATACCAAACTCCAATCAATGTAAAACAAAATAATATTAATAATAATAAAATGTAAAATATCATAAAATAATAATAATAAAATTATGAATTAACCTTTGTGTTTTGTATAGTCAATGCACTGGAGAAACACAGCAAGCAATCTTGCAATTTTTACTATGCTCTTTTTTTAATTGTAATTTTCCTTAAAAATTGAAATTATATATTATTTTTTAAAGGAAAATTATGGCTACTCTATAAGTACACCTAACTAAACATTCAGGATCGATACAATGTACAATTTGACAGAAAGTGGAAAAAAAAACTTTTTGTCTCAGTTTTTAAGTTGTCTTCAACTGGGGCATCTACAGGAATAGAACATTTCACTTAATAGTCTTGATTTTGAGAATAACTGGTATGCCTATGATTTTAATTTTTTCTGCATTTATTTGTCACATATTAAAAGGAGCACATCAAAGTTTAGATGTTAAAAATGCAAGAGGTTTTCAAAATTTGGCACGCAGGGAGGGACTGTCGTTTTAATAGCAATCAGCGAAAACCGAGACTACCTACAAAAGTATGTATTTTTGTAAAAGTAGACACAGCAGAGGATTTACCATGAAGCATTTGGACATTTTTAATGCAAGCATTGTATCACCAGTTCGGTAGAAACTGGGGTTAAATTGGAGATACATACTGTACCGGTCTTTTCTATTCTGACATCCCAATTTTTCGAAATTTTTCACATAATTTTAGTAAATATTTTTTCTATCATTCCAATACCACATAAATTAATAAACACACAAAAAAATTATAATAGTGATATTGTGTTCTGCACAAATGTTTAACACTGAATGTGACAACAAACAAGACTCCGAGCTTGAAATAAAGCATTATAAAACAATCTCCCCCGAATATTTACTTGTATCATCTTTGTCAACATAAACAAATTGAACAAGTTCTTTCAGAATTTGGCCATCACTACCATTTACTGGGCACTGGGTGAGGGAATTGTGAGCTGTCACATGTACAATGTAACATTCAATGCTTCTCTAAGAGAATTACAGTGGCATGTGCATTATGCCTACAATTATGTAGTGATGATGGTGCTTTTAGTGCTCATTTAATTTGCTTATTAAAGTGACCTAAGCTCGTTTTAACCCCTTAAGGACCAAACTTCTGGAATAAAAGGGAACCATGACATGTCACACGTCATGTGTCCTTAAGGGGTTAAAGAGCTTTCTATATATTGTGCAAGCAGTTTTGCAAGTAAGTGTATAGATTGGGAGATGAAAAACATTTTTACAAATAGATTTTTCTCCTGATTGTTGCCCAATATCTTTTACTTTCTTGTGTGTCTCTTAACCCATGTTACTTCTTCTGAATTTCTCAACCGCCTTACCTCTTGTCTGTTTCTTAACACTCTTATCCTTTTTGTCCTCCACCTACATAGACAGTGACATGCACAAATATGCAATCATACATCACTCACATACAAACATGAACATGCACAGTCACATACACAAACACACAATTACATAGTCGCAACATAAATAACTAGATGATTATAGTCACATACACACACGGTCACACATCCAGACGCACAGAGTCAGATAGACACAGTTACAGAGAAGTCAGGTGCACACAATCAGACATATACACTATGTAACATACAGTTACACAGACACAGCCAGACACATGCACACAGTTGCACCTACAACACACAGTCAATGGCACACAGTCGCAAACGTTGTTAAAGGCACACAAACAGTTACAGCCACACACACAGTTAAAGTCACATACACACACTGCTACAGACACACACACACTTAAAGTTACAGTCATGTTAAAGGCACACCTCAACACTGTTCCACATAGAAGGCTGATCAATAGACTGCAATATTTAAGTTTGGATTCCATTATTGTTGAATGGGTTAGGCAGTGTCTAAATGACAAGCAACAGAGGGTTGTTGTCAACCAAGTATATTCAAAGCATGGTCTTGTCACCAGTGGGGTACCTGAGGGATCTGTACTTGGACCCATTCTCTTTAATATTTTTGTTAGTGATTGTAATGGATCACCTGGCACCCCGACTGGGTACCTCCGTTGAAGGATGCTCCTAGCACTTCCTGAGGACCACGGTCCCATCTGCGCCAGTGTGGGGCTTATGATCTCCCCTTGGTGGGCTAGGCTGCCGCTGGGGAGAGGGGGTAACAAGCTCCTCTCCCTGAACTATAGACTGCCGCTGGGGAGAGGGGGTACCAAGTTCCTCTCCCTTACACACTTTCAGCCGCTGGGTAGAGGAGATGACCAGCTCCTCTCCTTGACACTCTCTCTGCTGGGGGAAGAGGGGACCGACTGTCTCCCCTTTCCATATATTGTCCTGCTGCTGGGGAGCGAGACCGACTGTCCTTGCTCCCTGCAGGACACTCTGTCGCTGGGGAGGAAGGACAGCACCTTCAGCTCCCTGGGACTCGCTTGACTGCTGTGGAGAGGGACCAACTGTCTCCTCTCCTAAGGACTCACACTGCCGCTGGGGAGGGAGGACGCTGCTCTCCGCTCCCAGTGAAACACACTGCCGCTGGGGAGCAGGACCTACTGTCCCTGCCCCCTGTATCTCACCTTGCCGATGGGGAGGGAGGACACTGCTCTCCTCTCCCTGCAAGGTACACTGCCACTGGGGATCTGGGCCGACTGCCCAGCATCCCTGTAGGGCCGGTAGAGAGACCACGATCCCATCTCCACCTGCCATCTGTGGGTCTTCCCAGGACCAGTCTATGAGGTCCCTCAACATTTGAGAGTAGGGACCTCCTGCTTCTGCACCTGGTAACTCTGGCTGCTGCTGGGGATCTGGGCCAGCTTCCCAGCATCCCGGTGGGCCCGGTGGAGAGACCTCGGTCCCATCTCCACCTGCCTGTTGTGGTTCCTCACAGGACCAGTCTATGAGGACCCCTACTTCAGGTTCCTCTGGCCGCCTCAGGGGAAAACGGTTAACCTCCTCGAATGCAGCCTCTCTTTGGCTGCTGTAACACTCCTTCTGCTGAGCATATTCTCTCTCTTTTGTCAGCCGGAATTCTCGGTCCATCCTTGCGTTTTGCTCGGCTGTGACCTGGTTCCAGATCGCCTGGCATATATCCATGGGCACATTATCACCATACTGGGCCACTCGCTGACTCACCTCGGCCAGCCAATCATCTCCAGAGCCTTCCATACTTGTCTGCTCCAAGTCGTTGGATACCTCTGCTCCCAGGGGCGCTGCCTGAGTGCTAGCGTTGCCCTCAATCTCTCCGAGCTGCTTTACCTCGCACTAGGACGCCCTCCCACCGCTTGCCACCAATGTAACGGATCGACGGGAACCCCGACTGGGTACCTCCATTGAAGGAGGCTCCTAGCGCTTCCTGAGGACTCCAAGCACTGCACCAGACACCATAACCACTGTAGATTCCTCCAGAGAGCAAGGCAGAAACAAGCTCTTACAAGAGCTTAGTAGTGATTTAGCAAGGAAGTATGACTAGCATAGCAATCCCTAGTAGCAGATTCCCCCAATAAGAGACGGCACTCCAAATTGAGGGTGAAGTAGAACTGACGGTACTGGCACATACAGCCTCTTTTATTCACATTCTACAAACATAGTACTGCCCACAGGGTTTTGAAGAACAACCAATCAACACATTACAACACAGCTAACACTCCCATTCATTACATCAGAAATCCTCCCCTCTGCCTGTGATACAATTATCTCAACACAATAGACTACCTTAATTATCACAGGCAGGAAAATACAGTATTATAAAACACATCACAGGGACCCCAAAACATGCAATAACCCCCCAAAAAATATCCTCGGAACCGGGGGATCTGGGTGAACCACATATCCAAAATTCACCTAAATCCGTTCAGTAGTTTGGAAGATACGGTTTAATGCAGTTTCCGAAGAACATATACAGGTTATATGAAAAATAATTACTGTTAAATGTGTCCCCTGTTCTGTAGTTTAAAACTACTGAACAATGTCTTTGTGCACCAAATACCGGCGAGATGACACCGTGTAGAAAAGTCAAAACAGTGTCTGTGAGTTAAAATGGCCGCCATCCATTGTTCTCATCATGTGCTTCATCCATTGTTCTCACCATGTGCCTCTGATACATGAAATGGTGGCCACCCAGTAACTCCACAGTTTGTCTGGTAGTCTATCCAGCCGAACCAACAGATGAAACACATGGGGAACAGTGCAACAAACGAAGGGAATCATAAAAAATATGGACAATAGTCATATTTGTGCACAATCTCCAGTTTTGTCACAGGGCACAAACAGTGTTTTCAAATTCCATATATCCCAGGGCCATAGTCAGAAGGTAGGAGCAAGCAGCCCCCTCCGAGAACACATGAGGTCTGTTCCGCCACAGTGATATTTAGGTAAACTAGAAAAATGGTCAGAGCTGTGGCAATTGACATTTAATGTGGATAAGTGCAAGATAATGCACCTTGGACGTAAAAACCCAAGGGCAGAGTATAGGATATACCTCAAGTAACTTCAACATCTGAGGAAAGGGATTTAGGAGTAATTATTTCAGATGACGTAAAGGTAGTAAGACAATGTAATAGAGCAGCTGGAAATGCTAGCAGAATGCTTGGTTATATAGAAAGAAGTGCTCATGCCATTGTACAGAACACTGGTGAGACCTCACTTGGAGCATTGTATGCAGTACTGGAGACCGTATTGTTATGAACAAAATACTTGAATGGATAAAATGTCTATTTTTCTCTGTACATGTGTACTCATTCAGTGAATGTTGCCCTTCCCCCCCTCTGTGTGCTCATTAACTATTTCCTCTGTAAATTCTTCCCATCCTGCTACCCTCCCCCCTTCCCATCGAGCAAGCCTCGTGTAACAAATTCCTGTGTTAAAGGAACAGCTTCCTTTACTAACTCCTACCCCACTTCCTTTGTGCAACTAACAGCTAGCTGCCACGTGTAACAAAATGTAGAATCGCTGTTAAAGTAACTGTTTCCCCTTCAGCCCCCTCTTTGTTCAGTAACTACTCACCCCCCTCCCATCGTGTAACCAAGATGGAGCTGGAATGTGGGTGGGAGAGCTCTGTAATGATGACATTACATCCTGTAGGGTGGGTTTAGACAAAACCCCTTAGACTGTTAACCAATTGTTGAATGTATACTTTATGTTAACTGTGACTCTGTACATGACGTATTTCTGCTTTAAAAGGGGCTCCCACTCCTTGGAATAAACCATTCCTCAGGTTTTTCACTAATCAGAAACTTTGTCTATGGTGTGAATTACTTCTAAGAAAGCATGCGCACAATCAATTTGGAAAGGAGTAGATAGACAAATAATGAAACAGTTTGTTTGATCCAAAACAGCTGGCACCCCATATGGGACTGTTAGGACCGGAGAGGAGACCCCCAGAGACTGGAAAAAAGAGACTGATCACCTCTGCATAAGGTAAAAGAGTAAATTACCTATATTTCCTGTCTTTGGACTTGGCCTGAACTCCGTGTCTGGGCCGGCTTTCGTGGAAAACACCACAGACAGGTATATAGTTTGCCCAAATTTCCCCTTTTTATTTGAAAGGAACCTGTCAATTGTCTATCTACATCCTGAGTGTGAGTCTTATGTGTGAAAGTGTCTGCTTGAGAATTCGTTTTACTGATTGCTTAACACTGTGGCATAATACTATTAAGCGTGTTTTGTTTTAGCTAAAGCTTTGGTAAAGAAGCCAATGTGTAAGAAGCTAGCGTGTTTTGTTTTAGCAAAAGCTTTGGTAAAGAAGCTAGCGTGTTTTGTTTTAGCTAAAGCTTTGGTAAAGAAGCTAGCGTGTTTTGTTTTAGCTAAAGCTTTGGTAAAGAAGCTAACGTGTTTTGTTTTAGCTAAAGCTTTGGTAAAGAAGCTAGCGTGTTTTGTTTTAGCTAAGCTTTGGTAAAGAAGCTAGCGTGTTTTGTTTTAGCTAAAGCTTTGGTAAAGAAGCTAGCGTGTTTTGTTTTAGCTAAGCTTTGGTAAAGAAGCTAACGTGTTTTGTTTTAGCTAAAGCTTTGGTAAAGAAGCTAGCGTGTTTTGTTTTAGCTAAAGCTTTGGTAAAGAAGCTAGCGTGTTTTGTTTTAGCTAAGCTTTGGTAAAGAAGCTAGCGTGTTTTGTTTTAGCTAAGCTTTGGTAAAGAAGCTAGCGTGTTTTGTTTTAGCTAAGCTTTGGTAAAGAAGCTAACGTGTTTTGTTTTAGCTAAAGCTTTGGTAAAGAAGCTAACGTGTTTTGTTTTAGCTAAAGCTTTGGTAAAGAAGCTAGCGTGTTTTGTTTTAGCTAAGAAGCTTTTGTTTTAGTAAAGAAGCTAACGTGTTTTGTTTTAGCTAAAGCTTTGGTAAAGAAGCTAGCGTGTTTTGTTTTAGCTAAAGCTTTGGTAAAGAAGCTAACGTGTTTTGTTTTAGCTAAAGCTTTGGTAAAGAAGCTAGCGTGTTTTGTTTTAGCTAAAGCTTTGGTAAAGAAGCTAGCGTGTTTTGTTTTAGCTAAAGCTTTGGTAAAGAAGCTAACGTGTTTTGTTTTAGCTAAGCTTTGGTAAAGAAGCTAACGTGTTTTGTTTTAGCTAAAGCTTTGGTAAAGAAGCTAACGTGTTTTGTTTTAGCTAAAGCTTTGGTAAAGAAGCTAACGTGTTTTGTTTTAGCTAAAGCTTTGGTAAAGAAGCTAGCGTGTTTTGTTTTAGCTAAAGCTTTGGTAAAGAAGCTAACGTGTTTTGTTTTAGCTAAAGCTTTGGTAAAGAAGCTAACGTGTTTTGTTTTAGCTAAAGCTTTGGTAAAGAAGCTAACGTGTTTTGTTTTAGCTAAGCTTTGGTAAAGAAGCTAACGTGTTTTGTTTTAGCTAAGCTTTGGTAAAGAAGCTAGCGTGTTTTGTTTTAGCTAAGCTTTGGTAAAGAAGCTAGCGTGTTTTGTTTTAGCTAAGCTTTGGTAAAGAAGCTAGCGTGTTTTGTTT